TTCGCTAAAGTGTCATTCGGTGAAACGTGGGCGTTCGCTAAAACGTCATTCTATCAAGTGAGTGCCTCCCCTATCTCCCCTGTCTACCGCTACCACCTGCACTATGGCGCTCTAACCTTCACACTAACCAAAGGGGATCGGTGGCTAAGTGGGCTAGTGCACACCAGCTCGGAGCACGTCGAGCGAAAGCTCGCGCAAAAGAAACCAGCGATCCTGGGTTCAATCCGCACCCCTTCCCGTTTCGATCTGGATGAACATCGTAAGGGGAAGTCACACGAGGGAGAAATCCCGCGGATTTCTCCCCGGCACGCGCGCATCACGAGATGAAAACGCGAGGCTTTTGCACATCGCAAAGAATGACGTTTTCGTCGTGGGATGCGCGTGCCGGGGAGAAATCCCCAGGATTTCTCCCTCGTGTGAATACCCCTGTACCGGCGTGCGGTCGTGTATACCTACTGCGTGATGCACGTTAAAGACCTCGCGCTAGCGGTTGTACTGCACTGGCTAAATTTTTCGTCTACAGCTGGGAGACTCGTCGGCCGTTGAGGCTGACCACATTCTATGCTGTATAAACATACACTCACACGTACCCCAATTTTTCTCCGGAGCTATAGCTACAGGCTGTTTTCAGCGCACGCAATTCAGCGCATTCAGAAACCTAAGAACAAGAGCACGCCCACAAGCAGTGTTGCCAATTTAGCGGTTTTCCCGCTAAACTTAGCGGTTTTTGGTTCTGTTTAGCGGGATAAATTATTGTTTTGCGGGCGGCGGGATTTTTAGCCGGTTTTATGTAATCTTGGCGGTTTTTCAGAGATATAGAAGTTTAATATCTATTTACTGCAGTAAATAGATATAGAAATAGATAAGAAAAAAGGTTGTCGACAGGTGTATTCTTACACCTTTTGTCCCATATAATACACCCCCAAACTTCAATTCGACATACAGCGCCCTACAGTCCAGCAGGCAGCCCAAAATATACGAGGAACTTGATAGCCGTGTGGCACAACATATTAAAATAGCTAATTTACGTTTTACTGAACACGAAAAAAATAATCTGGGTTTTCTTGGCCCTACTGTAAGAACTCGGAGTTTTCTTTATGTGGTCTTTGATGCGTACTTTAGCTATTTAAAATGTTGTACCGCATGGCTATCAATCCCCATCGTAAAGTTCCGGGCCCTCTGTTCGACTGTAGGGCACTGTACGTCGAATTGAAATTCTGGGGTGTATTATATGGGACAAAGGGTGTAAGAATACACCTTTTGACACCCTTTTTACTTGAGAGTGTGTCAACTATGCACCGGTCCTATTCATAATCAGCAACAGTCGTCTTTGCTTACTCTCAGTAATGCTCTGTTTCGTGAGAGTAGCGCCTGTGACGTCATCAAAACATTAAGGCGTCAAATATCGGAACATTCCTTCTTGTTTGGTGCGCGCGCGTTTGAACAGCATGAATGTTCCCATGTCCCTTTGACGTTTTTGTGACTGATTCGTGAAATGTGCCGGGTGAAGTCCGCTCATAAGTTTATAAAAGCCTCGCTACAAGACCCCGAACTTCAAGACTGCCTACTGGGGGTTCCTGGTGATAGCAGACGAACCAGGCTCCGCTATTGCAGAACGGAGCTATCTGCGAAGCACTTGGATTTGGTCGCGCACGCTGAGACAAAGAAGCATGTTTCGGCCGCTGCAACTTTCTCCCCTGGCAGGTTGACGACTCTACAAGTTGAACGGAAGTCTGACCAGTCACGCAGTGCTGAAGGGTCCCTTTCGATGTTCATATGCGCTCACTCCGCAATTTTGGCTTCGTATCACCTAGGTGAACTGTGTCGTGGGGTGAGAGATTCTGTTCGCCCACGACAGAATCTGTCGGCGGAATGCGTGGGATAGGCATCTAAATCTCGATTATTGCCTTTTGTTTCGCTGGCTCTGGAAAGAAAATGACATTCTATAATTCCTCGGTAGGTTAAAAAGCTAATAAATGAAGATTTTTCGGGCGTATGGCCACAAACATTTATTCAGGCGAAAAAGAGGTTGACCCGTAGCAGACGACGCGTAGCCTCGGCAGTGCTCTTCTCCGACCAGTCTCCGACAGCGCTGCTAAAAAATGGCGGTCGTCTCCTCTCTGCCCCCTTATTTTTCTCTCGCTCCTTCGGAGCTCTCCTCCCTTTCATTTACTTTTCTCCTCTCCGGCGCCTTCGTCACCACACCCACGGGCCAAGCTCTCGCAATATGCGGCTCTGCCCTAGCTATACCCCTGCCCTACCCTTCCCTCCCGGATCCAGTCCGGGACGCCTTGGGGAACACCGAAGCGAGGTGGCTACGCCGTTGTAATCTGTGTGTTACGATACAAAAATTTAAGTGTCGACTTGAACGGCGGGTAAATGGTGCACTGTTGCGTGCCATCTGTGTACACAAAAAGGTCAAACGCTTTTTATTTAACAAATTTCCATCACCAAATGTCCGCAGAGTGGATTAAAAGAATCTCACGAGCGGGTAAGTACCGATTTTTTTTATCTCAGTCATTTGGGACAATAATAACAATAGCGTCAGAGTGTATTAGAAGAAAAAAAGGCATTCATGACATGTTTCAATGTTGTTTCTTTTTTTTGCGTTCTTTTCTTTCAATGTAAAAAGAACTCCCAATGGCGCCCAAGTGATAGCGGGGGCACTGTCCTATGCTCTCTGCATTTTACAGCAGATGACTATAAGGAGAATGTGAATTTGAAAAAGCTGAAAGCCATAGTGATGGCAACGGTGTTCCGTGTTCGAGATTTATCCGATCGACAAACGGTGCAATTCAAAGCAAACTTGAAAACACCCAGCGACACACGCAGCACCATCGCAAAAACAAAAAAAAAAGTATGATTTTTTTCTTTTGTGTGCAACTCATTTTTTAGAGTAATTGTAACAGTTATACACGGCTACACGAGATTTTTATCTGCTACGGATGGCGAGCCCGTTCAGCGAAAGGAATACAGCTTCAGAGGGGCCAAGGTGGAGTCGATGGACCCCTCGATATTTTGGCTCGAGAATAGATTCTTCGTGTATGTGAACAACTAAAAGAGAACGGCACCATCGGTCAGAATATTTCTAACGTCCAAGACTCACGCAGCCTTGGCAGTTACAACGCTGTCTACTGTATTGTGCACACGCCACCTGTTGGACCAAGGATTCAAGTACGTTTTAAAATTCAAGTTCTCTTCAGACAGAGAAGAGTCGCCCTTCTTTATGGTGAGACCAAACGGATGCCCTAAAACGCCCTCTCCTCTCTGCACACAATTTTTGTCATCATCATCATCATCATCATATATTATCCTTGTGCGTTCTTACGGGCATCACAGAAGGGTGTGGAACAGTTCAATATTGGTGCGCTGCTGCAAAAGCCAGGGCTGCAGCCTGCTGCTTCGCCACGAAATATGGAGAAGATTTTGCAACCATTCCTAAAGGAACTTCAGATGTTCCCAGATAAGGAACCATTCTATCGTATATAACAAATTAAAACTAGCAAGAAACGGAAAACCAAGTTTTTGAAACGTTTTCCAGCTCCACGACTGCAAACCACTACGGAGGCACACATCGGAGGTTTCCTCGTGAGGGCGGCTGAAGACAACATTGCCTGCGACAGGCGCTTGCACCAGCTCAAGTCCCCTCCACACAACAGCACCACCGTTGCCATAGCATAGAACCTGGACCGTGGGGTACCACGCTACCCCAGCCCCCGCCTCGTCAACTTTCTGAGAACATTTGAGAGCTCAGCCAATTCTGCTCAGATGGGGTTATTAACACTGAGGAAGCCACTGCTGACGTTTACTAAAATGGTTCTGCCGGCAATTGCGAGCAACCCGCTGTTTGCCTGTGGAGTGCACGACTGACAAGATCCCAGAACCACCCTGGCTACAGTCGTCGTCAGGAAGTTCACGAGGAGTTTCCTGACGAACATTGCATCAAACAAGATGCAGGAGCACCAGGCAAAGTAGGTCATAAAAGGAAAAAAACGACTTCCCGAAACGTCTTTAAAGTGTAGGACTTCTATGAAAAGCATGCATGGAATTTGTTTTGTAATTAGTGAAAAAAGCTCTCTCTCTCTATATATATATATATACATATATATATATATATATATATATATATATATATATATATATATATATATATATATATATATATATGAGAGGGCACGGCGGGACCGAGATGGCTATATCGCTAAACCCCTCTATTCTTCACCCAGGTTACGCTGTGCGCCCTTGCTCAGCACGTGTCATTCGCACTGAAGAATGATGTCAGCAGCCTGGATCTACCGGCAGTGAACTTCGACTGGCCATTTGCTGGGACGCACCACGTGACATCAACGACATTCGACATCTTGAAGACAACGCCGCCTGCTGAAGCGTATAAAAACGACCGCATCAACGATTTCTTCAAAGGGCACGGCGGGACCGAGATGGCTATATCGCTAAACCCCTCTGTATTCTTCACCCAGGTTACGCTGTGCGCCCTTGCTCAGCACGTGTCATTCGCACTGAAGGATGATGTCAGCAGCCTGGATCTACCGGCAGTGAACTTCGACTGGCCATTTGCTTGGACGCACCACGTGACATCAACGACATTCGACTTCTTGAAGACAAGGCCGCCTGCTGAAGCGTATAAAAACGACCGCATCAACGATTTCTTCAGAGGGCACGGCGGGACCGAGATGGCTATATCGCTAAACCCCTCTGTATTCTTCACCCAGGTTTGTGGCAAATATGCTTATACCTCCTTCCGTAGTGACTGTAGAGGCATTGTTGTCCTGCCGTGCCCGGCGACATGCGCAAGTCTTTTTGTGGATGCGTGGAATGTCATTTTGATTCTTCTTGCTGGGGATGTTGAGCAAAATCTTGGACCTTATGCAGAGCTAAAATCAATGATGAACGCCATGCTTCTTTCCCAGAACGAACTGAAATCGAAAATTGAGAACTTAGCTGCTTCTCAGGACAAGCTTGAATCTACAGTTAACACTCGAATGAATGAAGTAATGGCAGCAATAAAAGAACAGAAAGTAGAGATACAGGCATTACAGGCCGAAGCTATATCGTTCAAAAGTAATCTTCAATTGCATCAAAAACGCCTCGACGACTTGGAGGACAGAAGTAGGCGCCGTAATGTTATCATTTTTGGTGTTCCCGAGCCTAATCGTGAAAACGCTGCAGTGCTAAGAAAACAGATAATTGAGGAGCTGATAGCGGAAAAACTCGGTCTGGTTGTCAACTCAGTTGAAAGAGTGCATAGAATTGGAAAAAAACGCGATAAAGCACGACCTGTAATCATGAACTTTTTTGGCTATAACGAGAAGTTGAAGGCACTAAAAAATTGCCATAAACTAAAGGGAACACCAGTATCAATAAACCACGACTTCTGTCAAGGCACTTTAGCAAAGCGCAGCAAACTGTGGTCTCGTTCTGGGGAGTTTAAAGCTCGAGGTCATAAAGTGCTCTTGATTACGATAAGCTGCGAGTGAACGATGATCTGTATGAATGGGACGAGGAGAATGATTGTCTAAAATGTATTCGCTCTCAAGTACAACGAAGCAGAGATGACTGACTTGATAGCAAACAATTGCGCGTTGTTCTCATAAATGCCAGAAGCATTGTCAATAAAGTTCACGAGCTTGAAGAAATCATATTTACATATGATCCACAAATCATAGCGATTACAGAGACCTGGTTATCAGCAGACATATCAGATTCCAAAGTAGTTCCCCCAACGCACAAACTGGTTAGACGTGATCGAGGCTCCCGAGGAGGGGGAGTTGCTTTAGTAGTCAAAAAGGAAATTATTTCCGTTACTATGGACGAAATAGACGACAATGAAAGTGTGTGGTGTCAAATGGATTATCTTGGGTTCTCGGCTCTTGTAGGTGTGATCTATCAGCCCCCCGCCTCGCCGGAGTTGTTTTTGGAAAAAATTCAGTCTTACATGGAGCAAAAATACAAACCTAATCAAAAAGTCATATTAGCCGGGGACTTTAACCTACCGACAATTGATTGGCACACTTTACACCCCGGTACGACGGACGTAAAGAACTGCAACTTGTTACTTGAATTGATGCTAAACTTTAATCTCATTCAGCTTGTTAATGAGGGTACAAGAGTCACTGAAAGCACAGATAACGTACTAGACCTTATATTTGTTGGAAATTTCCCAGAGGACACTACTGTGAGTGTTTGCGATGGTATATCTGACCATAAGCTTGTTTTACTTACCTCAAATTTTTGTCCTGTCAAAAAGAATCACACGAGTAAATGTGTCTTTAACTTTCCCGCTGCCGATGATGAAGCTGTTATAGATTCACTTGACCTTTGCTTCAGTGACTTTGAGGCGGGAGGTGACGTATCGACTTTGTGGAATACCTTTAAAAACATTACTGCATCATGTCTTGATAAATTCGTACCAAAATTTCAGAAAAAGAAACAGCACAACCCCTGGATAACAAGGGACATAATACATTTGAAAAGAGCTATATCTCAAAAACGCAAATCAGCTCGTAAAGATAATAGTGTCATATCTTCCCTTTCAATAACACTGAAGCAAAAAAAACGGAGCGCTCGAGATTATTTTTTTGGAACGACACTTGTAAACTTCATGAAAAACGCGCCGCAAAAGTTTTGGGGATATCTATCTGGCAACAATAGGACTGTCGACCAACTCCACATTGATGGTTGTGGGGTTACTGACCCTTACCGAATTGTCAATGAGCTTAACAGCACATTTCATAGTGTTTTTGGTCGTCGGGGCACGACCGAAAATACAATCGAACATTTTTCTCTTTCATCTAATGTAATGCAAGACATAAATTTAAACGTAAATGGGATTCGTCTTCTCCTTTTAAGACTTGATGTAAAAAAGTCTTCTGGCCCTGACGGTATACCCAACGCCTTTCTGAAGCGTTATATGGACATGATTTCGCAGTATTTGTATGTTTTGTTCAATGCATCCTTGGATCAGGGACGCCTGCTTCCTGATTGGCTGTGTGGGAAGGTTGTGCCGGTGCACAAGGACGGGAGCAAACTGCTGGCTGCGAACTACAGGCCGATATCATTAATCAGCAGTTGCTGCAAACTGCTCGAACACATAATTTCGAGCCACAAAACTTCGTTTTTAGAATCCAATAACATATTATCCAGCTTTCAGCATGGGTTCAGAAAAAAGCTATCAACCACGACTCAACTCGTATCAGTTGTACATGACTTCGCCAATGCTATCAACAAAAGGAAACAAATTGATGCGATATTTTTGGATCTGTCAAAAGCTTTTGATAGGGTACCGCACTATCTACTACTAAAAAAACTGCAGCGTGTAGGAATTTCTCCCCGCCTTGTGAACTGGATTTCTGCGTATCTGACGAACAGAACGCAGTTTGTAGAAATTAACGGTTGTCAATCGCAAAATCTTGATGTCCTGTCAGGTGTTCCCCAAGGGTCTGTCTTGGGACCCCTTTTGTTCTTGATACATGTCAATGACATAGCTGACGACCTTGACTTGGGTGTGACTGTGAAAATGTTTGCAGACGACTGTGTGATTTATACTACTGTCATTAACACCTCGGACCAATTTTTGCTTAACGAAAACTTGTGTAAAATTGCTGACTGGTGTGAGAGGTGGCAGATGGTTATAAACTACTTGAAAACACGCGCTCTTACAATAACACACAAGAAATCTCCTCTCGAATATACGTATCATGTCCGCGATAAACTCATTGAGTCAGTGAATGACGTAAAATACTTACGTCTAACTATTAACACGAAACTTAGCTGGGACACCCACATAGACAATACTTGCGCCAAGGCCTACAAAAAACTGTGTTTTTTAAGAAGGAAAATGGGTGCGTGCAATTGGACTGTAAAACTTTCAGCCTATAAAGCCCTAGTTCGCCCAGTTATAGAATATGCGTCAATCGTGTGGGACCCATATTTAAAGAAATATATAGAAAAGTGGAGAGGATTCAGCGACTAAGTGCACGATTTATTTTTTCTGATTTTATTCGCCTCTCCTCGGTTTCTGAAATGTTGAATAGATGTGGGCTAGACTTTCTCGAAGCCAGGCGGAAATTTGCAAGATTAAGGTTTTTTTATAAAATTTATCATAACGAAACTGGCTTAAGTAAAGACTTGTATATTCAGCCACCTCCTCAGCGCTCAGCAAGGCTAAACCACTCAAAAAATGTTAGACAATATGCTCCTAGAAATAATCTATTTAAGTACTCATTTTTTGTACGAACCATTGAAAACTGGAACTCACTGCCGTCAGACTGCGTGAACGCTTCAACATCCAATAGTTTTGATTCCTTTCTTATAAACATGTTGTAACCCTCTCCTGCTAGGATGGTGGAAAACCATCCGCAGTATTTCCTAAATAAAAAAAATAAAATATATATATATGGGTGGTTTCATTTGAAATCGAACACGCTTGTTGGGGCGGGTCTTTTGATTTTTAAAAAAAAATATATGTAATTGCCCCATTTCTGGAAAGAACAAAACCACCTTCAAAAATTTTTTAAAAAAAATATTTCGCTTCACAAAAAATTATTCAGTGGAGCAGGGTGAAAATCTGTTTTTTACTCCGTGATCTTTCTACCCAGTTCTGTACGCTGGTATGAATACGGGAAGCATACAAAACTCACAGTAATTTTTTTGTGCGCTTGTATGTTATTTAAACTATTTTTTAGTTTAATAGAAAATACTTTTGTAGTTTTGTTTATTGAGGTAAAAAAATGCGAAACATCGTCTCTTTGACGATCCGGTGACATCTTCAGAGCCTTGTAGCTCATGAGTTATTATATTTGTCACTTACTAAATATTATGCGGGTGTAGCCCTATACATGGGCTATCGACGGGCATACGTTTTGTTTATTTTATTTTCACTCAATTTTTTATATAAAATTTGGAATATCGTTGAAAATGAAATTAACCGATATTTTGAACTCACTTTGTCAAAAAAGGCCATTTTTTATTTCGTTCAATTTTTATATTATTGCTGCCGATCATATGAACTTTCAATTGGCTTGATGTGATTTCCCCCTTTTTTTGTTGTATCTTCTCTAGAAGTGATCGAAATCGCTCCCACGAGACAATGCGGTGACAAATTCAGAGCCTTGCAACTCATGAGTTATTATATTTGTCGCTTACCAAATACCATGTGGGTGTAGCCCTACACATGTAATATTGACTGGCATAAGTTTAGTTTATTTTATTTTCACGGGATTTTTTATATAAAATTTGAAATATCGTTGAAAGTGAAATTAACCGATATTTTGAACCCACTTTATCGAAAAAGGATATTTAATATTTCGTTCAATTTTTTTTTTTAATATTGCTGCCAATAATATGAAATTTCAATTTGCTTGATGCGATTTCCCCCTTCTTTTGCTGTATCTTCCGTAGAAGTGATCGAAATCGCTCCCACGTTCTCAGAACAGCCAAACGCAGTTTCCGCAGGTCGCCTTCGCTGCAAAGACTATGCTGCTTATTTGTGTGTTCAAATGCAGCGGTTAAATTCATTTTGATTGAGAACACTCGTGCTTGGCTACATTGTATTTTAATAATTTTTAATGATGGCAATTGACATTTCTTAGTCTGATATTTAGCGGTGCCCCGGATGTTCCATTATCCGATGTTTAAAGGCAGGGCACAAAGGGCGGAGAAAACGGAACGAGCTCTTCATGTAGCCAGACCGGGGTCATATATCTGTTAGTGCTATACACAGCTTGTAAGGCACCGACAACATGCCCGGCCCTTCGCGCTATAGGCCATCTTCGTTACACCCAGGAAGCATCCGGCACGGGCGCCAATCTATGATGTGTCTTGTCGCGTGCGATCAAATAACCATGTAATCGCCTGTTCTTTATTATCAGCGTTTATATCAAAAATATGTAATATCACATGCCCCTCTTTAAGAAGAAAAAGCAGTTTGCAGAAAAAAAGTGAGGGAAACGGACTGAGTTTACTTGAAGCGAAGACAATTTTTTACAGAACACAAACACCAAAAGGGCGATAAATAGTCACTTTTATTAATAAACGCTAATATATTTAGGATGCACCTGTAAAACAATATGTTGTTGCGCTTTAAACAGTCCAGTTCACGAGCAACGCAATATTGGAACTTTTTGACAACGGCATTGGCTTGCCTGTGGAGACGATCGAGCGCGGTGGCGAGCTGAACTTTGCACCGCAGCGGTCGGATGCACCCGAGAAGTTCAACAGCGTGGTAAGTCGAGACGAACAGGACGAAAACTGAAGCCAAAGCGAGAACCTGAGACGGTGGCCCTTCTGTTTAACGAGTGTGTGCAGTTAAAAATAAAAGTTTTGGGTTTTGTTCAAGACTGATCGATATCTCGGATGCCAAGAAGCAAGGATTCCCACATGCACAGAAGGCAGCGAAAGCAGTCACTTAATGTCACTGTAGACTTTTAGTTTCTCTGGCTACATGAAGAGCTCGTTCCGTTTTCTCCGCCCTTTGTGC